GTTGGGTGGGGGAGGGGCGGCGCAGTTTCGCACGGTTCCGGGACGGGCTGAGTGTCGGGCTGAGTGTCTGGTCAGTAGGTCTGTCGTTGGTTCGGTAAAATGTTCTCTATTATCACCCATTGTTAATATTTGTTATCAGCACTGTTGTTGATTGTTTCTCCCTCTCCCTTGTTGTCCCAGTAAACTGCCCTTATCCCAACCCTCGAGGCTTTTGCTGTTGTTTTTTTCCTGTTCTCCTCCCCATCCCGCCGGGGAAGGAGTGAGTGAGCGGCCACATGGCGCTCAGCTGCTGGCTGGGCCTAAACCACATCACTTCCATACAACATCTTTGTACCTGTGTAACTAAACCCACATGGTGTAAATATAATGCCTCGGCAATCCTACACAATGATGCTTTAACCTTACCTAGCTTATTTTGCATCCAACTCTGGAATACCTGATGTCAACACGTGCAGTTTTAAGTGGGTATAATTGCACCCCTAAAGAGGTTTAGATTGCACCTCATTCCCCCACCTAGCAGATACTCTTACGCTCATAGAGTTTTTTAACGGTAAGACAACCTTTATCACACTTGAAGATCTATTAGAAAAGATACAGCTCCTAAGTAGGGACAGTGTATTGGGTTTGTGTGGCAAGGTTTTGGTACTGGGAGGGCTGCAGGGGTGGCTTCTGTAAGAGGCTGCTAGAAGCTTCCCCTATGTCCAACAGAGTCAATGCCAACCAGCTGCAAGATGGACCTGCCACTGGCCAAGGCTGAGCCCATCAGCAACAGTAGTAGCACCTCTGGTATAACACAGTTAAGAAGGGGGGAAAAAAAAAGAAACCAACTGTGCAACTGCAGCTGGAGAGTGGAGTGAGAAGATGAAAGAAACTCTGCAGACACCAAGGTCAGTGAAGAAGGAGGGGGAGGAGGTGCTCCAGGCACTGGAGCACAGATTGCCCTGCAGCTCATGGAGAAGCCCATGGTGAGGCAGGCTGTCCCCCTGCAGCCCATGGAGGCTAATGGTGGCAGATACCCACCTGCAGCCTGTGAAAGACCCCACGTCAGAGCAGGTGAATGCCCGAAAGAGACTTGTGACCCCATGGGAAGCCTGTGCTGAAGCAGGCTCCAGGCAGGACCTGTGGACCCATGGAGAGAGGAGCCCACGCCAAAGCAGGTTTGCTGGCAGGACTTGTGACCCTGTGGAAGGGACCCACGCTGCAGCAGTTGGTGAAAAACTGCAGCCTGTGGGAAGGACTCATGTTGAAGAAGTTGGTGGAGAACTGTCTCCTGTGGGAGGGACTCCACCCTGGAGATGGAGAAAAGTATGAGGAGTCCTCCCCCTGAGGAGGAAGGAGCAGCAGAGAGAACGTGTGATGAACTGACTGTAACCCCCATTCTCTGTCCCCCTGTGCTGCAGCAGGGGAGGAGGGAGAGAAACCGGGAATGAAGTTGACCCTAGTAAGAAGGGAGGGGTGGAGGGAAGGTGTTTTAAGATTTGGTTTTATTTCTCATTATCTTACTCTGATTTGATTGGTAATAAACTAATTTACTAATTTCAAGTGTGTTTTGTCCATGACAGTAATTGGTGAGTGATCTCTCCCTGTCCTTATCTTGACTAAGGAGACTTTCGTTGTATTTTCTCTCCCCTGTCCAGCTGAGGAAGGCAGTGATAGAGCGGCTTGGTGGGCACCTTGGTCTCCGGCCAGGGTCAACCCACAGACAGGAACATCAGAAAAAAGCTGTTTCACCACTACTACAGTACCTCTATGATTATGAAAATAAAGTCTAAACTAAATCTGTTTTTTTGACTTTGCTGTTCTGAATTAAATTGCCGGTTCATTACCAATTGAAAGTACTAAATCTAACTGTAGAACTGCCACACTGAGTCCAAAAAAAGCTTAATTAAACACACTTGTCTGACTCTTGAGACCAGCATCAGGTAAGAAAGAGCATAAGAAAAGGACAAGCATGCATGATACTTCCCTGACATATTCTTCTAACTTCCAGCAATCTGCAGATCAGGGTCTATGAATCAGAGGTCTTTTTTTTTTAATTAATAGCCTGGAAAAAGCTGTCTTTTTAAAAATCTATATAATCAGTTTAACCTATTTAGACCTATAGCATGCACTATCTCACAGGCTATGTCATATGGTCTCAGTTCTTTTTTCTTAAAATGGAGTGAATATGTCCTGGTTCTGGCAAGGACAGAGTTAATTTCCCAAGGAGCCAGGACAGGTGAGCCAAGGTGGCCGGGGGGCTATTCCATATCCTGTGAGTCATGCTCACCATAAAAGGGGGGCTAGTCAGGCAGGGGAGGGGGTGGCGCGGTTTTGGCGCGGTTCTGGGACGGGCTGAGCGTCCGGTTGGTCGTGGGATTGGTAAATTGTTCTCTGTTATCACCCATTGTGAATATGTTATCAGTACTGTTGTTGATTGTTTTCCCTCTCCCTTGCTGTCCCAGTAAATTGCCCCTATCCCAACCCACGAGAGGCTTTGCCGTTGTTTTTCCTTTCTCCTCCCCATCCTGCTGGGGAAGGGGTGAGTGAGCGGCACTTGGCGCTCAGCTGGGGCTGGGCCTAAACCACGTCAGAATACTATCCCTGGATACTTTGTCCACACCACAAATGACTTAGAAAATTTCATGCAATGAAAAGACTTGACAAATCTAGTATGAACACTCCTTGAGAGGAGTAGTGGGACGCTGGAGAATACCACTTGAACAGATATAATCTACTCTTAATTTGCAGTAACTGAATAAAACAGCATACATCTAGCATAGATAAATTGATAATATTATGTGTGTGTGGGGTGTGTGGTTTTTTAATCTGACAATAAAACAACTAGGTGGTTACATTCCTCTTGCTGATTCTTAAGTATGTACGTGGATTCAGATACTGAAGGACACCAGTTCTACTTAAAGTTATGAGCATTGTTGTGGAAACATTTACACTGGCCTTAGATTTTGTAGAAGCTTTAGACTACCATGGGTACTGTAGCCCAAGAGCAATTTCTTATCCCAGTTTTTAAAATCCTTCTCATTATTCTTGATATCTTGTTAGCCAAAGGAATGCAGTCAATATTATCTTGATTTTTTCATCCTCTGCACTGAATATTTTAATGTCTGCCTATGATGTGCATTTTCGTGCTTTTATGAAGGGGCAAAGGGTTTTAATTTAGTTTTCCAAAACAACAGACACCATCTGTAATTCTCTAGGGACAGTATCTTATACTAACATAAGATTATTGCAGTTTCAAATGTTCTACACAACAGACTACACACAGATTAAACTAAAACTGAATAGAATAAAATAACAAAAAAAAAGGTGAGGCAAGATGGGGATCAATACCTTGTTGCAGTTGATCTAGCTAATGCAGCTTGTAGAGATGTTTGTGTATCATCATCTACTTATTTGTATTTCCAGTTCTTCACACCTTCTGTACTGCTGCTATTTTCTCTGTCCTCTTACTGGGCTGCCCTGAGTATAGATCCTTTCTTTTCAGCTCAAATTACCTTACATCATATATTGTATATCATAATTTTGTAAAACTATAATTTCTATTCGTATACATTACATTTCCATATATATATATGCATACACATATATGTACACAAAACACATTTTATTTGCCCCAGAACTTAATAGCAAAGTGGGGGAGGAAGGCATTAGTACTCATTCTTGCTATGCAGAATATGTAAAACAGTTAAAGCTACCATCATCACAGAAATTCTAATTCATATTCCCTATATTATTATGTTACCTTTTTGTTTTCAAGTCTTTAATTTTAGAGATTACTTGAATTCACAGTCATTGTTTTATGCAAATGGAAAACACAGTAAGATCTGTCAATGAAAATAATTCTCTTCAAATTACTTTTTCCTTGTTCCAAGGATTATAAAAAAACTTCCTTCATCAGTTGTTAGAAAAATATTGTAAGTAGGCAGTGCTTCCACTCTGCTGGCATTTGTAGCCTAAGTATTAGAAACGTGAAACAAGATGAAATGAAGTGGAACAGCAACATACCTCCACCCTCTCCCCGCAAACTACATAATGAATTCCCTATAAGATAGGATTAATTTTTTCTTTTTTTTTTTTACCTTCAGCCATTTATCGACACACTTGGCATGGAACTCGTGGTTACAGGGTAAGACTCTAAGTAGCTGCCTTGACTCAAAATCACACATGCACACCACACACCTAAAAAGACAACAGAGTTCAAATGTATTTGCTATGTAAGAGCAAGAAATACATATTCCATACAAAACTTTATCGGTACTTTATAGGTACCACACCTTTACCCCTTGGGTAGCTACGGTTATCTATATCTGAGGTTGAAGATATGTAGGGTGACAATGTAAACTGAGAATTGTTGTGGGGTTTTTTTCTGTGCGTTCAAATCAGAGGGCAAGTTCACAGACCCAACCAAAAGGACAGATGTTTAATCAAAATTCAAAATGATGAAATAATGATCTATAAAGTACATTCCCTACTGATACTGGTAAGTCACACTGATGGTCACTGAAACTAGAATATCAGAAACATCCTTACACTTAAGTTCTGTATTAGACAGCATTTGATACTAAGTCACTTTAACTACCTTCATATCTATACTGCCCTTTCCACTTGGTTGTGTAGATCTTTCAAACACAGTAAGTTAATGGTTTTTAAAGTAAGAAGATGCACTCTTAGACCACTAACCAGGCTCTATTAGGAGCACTTGAAACTTCAACACTATTTTAATACAGGCTAAATTCCAAGTTGACAATGTCACTGTAATTTCTAGTATGCTGAACAAAACCTAGAACACCTTTCTTTCATTTTAATTTTTAAATTGAAACATAGCTAAATAATGTGAGACTAGATAGAGGTTTTAAAGTAAGGATAAATAGTATTTGTTGTGGAAAGCAATCCAAGAAAAAAAAAGAAAATGAAACTGTTTACTGTCACGACTGCCTTTAAAGCCCTTCTGGCCTAGCTGAAGTTGTAAGTTAAAGAAAAGAAAATATAGCCATCTAAATTATGGACATTTGAAAGAGACCAGTGTACATACAATGTCTGTTCTGACTGGTGGTTGTTTGGATTGAACCTGTAGGATGGAAGCTGTTCAATGTCTGCCTTTGTCAATCCTCGTGGTTTGGCTTCTCCTAGACGTTCTGCCAAATTCAGCAGTGCCTGCAACACATGGAAACTGGACATTTAAAAATTCTGAAGGCTCTGGTTCCACTAGAGGTGGGGCTGCCATTACACCTCACCACCTCAACTGGTAGCACAAAACACCCTTCTATCAAGAAATGTTTAGAACTTCCGTTCTCCCCTACAACACAAGCCCCATGGAAAGTCTTTCAGAATTCAACCATCTTTCTAATTATGTAAGATGTTCTCTTTGGGATTTCAAAACCGCCAGGACCCAACTTCCAATTATTCCAGTGGCTGCATGCACAGCTTGGGAAGTATTTTGCTTCTGAAGAATCCCCTCACCCCATTATGAAATTAATAGTGCTGGTAACCATAAAAAATCATCAACAAATTTGCTTCCTAAGAATATGCGACTCTGGTCTTGAAAGAAATCAAGAATTTAATGGCACAGGTTTTGCTCCCACTCCACATCTTGGTCTAGCTGAATTGAAATATCGAGATTTTAATCCTGAATCTGGAAAACAAATACATACCATCAAACTTCACACACTTTTTTTGCTAAATTTTATGTTCATTTTTTATAAGCCAACATTGCAACTAAACGCCTCTCATGTAAATAATTTGCACTCTACAGGTACGTAACTTCCACTCCTTCACAAGGGACCTAGGAAAAATATCACTATAAACATGACAGAGTACCAAAGGCACAGAAATGCTAAAAGACTTGCTGAAAGCTGCAAATGGTAATGATCACAAAGAGATTTCTAATACTGTCAAACCTAGGGCCCAAATTCTCAGAAATAAGATGATGCTTCTTCTGAACTAGCACAGAAATTATTACATAAGTGCTCATTGTTAAACTGAAAATGTGCAACTACGCAGAGCTCTTAAGGGGAGCACAGGCAAAGAGATGCAAAAGTAAGGGCTGATGATGACTGCTTGAAGAGAAATCAAATGGAATCCAGTAGTCTCAGAACCAGCAAAGGCACAACAGCTGAGACTGTCTCATAATTATCTAGGATATTAAAGAGGGTTCTGCATCTATAGATGTGAATTACTGTACCCTCCTGATGGCCAAGAAGAAAAGGCCCTCAAGTTTTATAAACATTACATTTAGATTTAGTAATCCTATGACATTGACTATTCTGCATAAACACTGCTCTGCAAAGTTAGGCACATAAAACTATTAACTTACCCTGTTCTTTTGAAAGTGCTTCACTTCTGTTTGATATTTAAAATCAATTAAAATTCAAAAGAGTGGCATGTAGAACATAAAAGCTGAACAATATAATGATTACTAGCCTGAAAGGGTGGATTCTGGGAAAGAGCAATAGACAAAAATAAAGCTAAGCATTTCTAATATCCAGCATTGCAAAAAAATCTGAAAGGATGGTGTCTGGATTCTGCCTTCACAGTCATTACATTTATTTGAAAGACAAAAGCAGGATTAAAAACAAAATATAATGAAATTTTATGTTATTGCTTGAGCTAACATCTGTTCTTTAAAGGTAGTTGTAGTTCACACACCAACCTCATAGTTTTCTACCTCTCCATCTTCCACATCCAACTCAAAGCTGAAAGCTGGTCCAACTGCAGGTGGCACTGGGAGCATTGATCTACCATGAGAGCAAACAATGATAAAGTTCAGCATCTTACCAAAGGAAAGGACAGAAACATCTGGCAGAGGCAAAGTTATCTTATTGATCCCTCTCAAATCAACAATTTCTCAGAATTGTTAAAAATGTTAAGTTTGGAGTCAAGAATAGTGAGAGAGTCAAATGAAAAAGCTAATTCTGCCCCTTTTTGATACTAAGAGTGCTGCCTTTTTCATTGCATGCATGTCTCAACTGATACTTCCAACCAGGCTCAGCGTTATTACAAAAACTAATCTCTTGATTTTCACAGATTATGGAGAGCTAAAACTGACAATGAAGGGACATTCTGGTTTTAAATGTTTTACTTCTTTAAGTAGATAAAATATCAACAAAGATAAGGAATCCTAGGTTCACTTAGCTCTCCAATACAAAAGCCTTGAAACTTTTATAAGCCTAAAACACACAATGAAGATAAATAGGATATGCTACTGGACCAACTTCCATACTGAAGGCAAGCACAAACTCACTTTCTCACATACTATGATGTTGGTCAAAGCAGAATCTCTTCAGATAAAGAGGAAAGAGAGAGATGTTTTTCTTTTTTTATATTTAACAAATGGTTTTACCCCCCCCAAGATATTCCTATAGGTCAAAACTTAATGCACAGACATAGAAATCACAAATTCACAGCACTAAAATATACTAAAATCCCAATGAAGTCATCAGGAATTACTGTGCCACATTGTGTCCTCAATGGACAGGCAAGAAGCTATGATATCACTCTCAGACTGTAAGATGCAAAGCGGAACAGCTTCACTGGATCAGATTTCTACTGCCATTTTCATGCCATGTCCGAAATTGCACAAAAAGAAACTACAGATCTGGTGCCAACGTGTGATTATTTCCTTGTCAATGTCACCATGCCCACCAAAAAATTATCTTTGTTTTCCAAACATTTCATACTTATTTCCATACAGAACATAGGAGTAATAAATCTCATGTCATATACCCAAACTCCCCCACAGAGGGTCTACCATAACACACTACAGATAATCTCTAAATGTTAATTATCCTGCATATTTTCCAGAAACAGCCAATCAGAGGCAGAACAGAAATCCAACAGCTGTAATGGATTAGCAGTTCAGCCAATAAAGACTAACACACAGAAAGCTCCCACCCTTGTGTCTCATAATTAAGAACAAAACCAAATGAATTTATTCTGTAAGTGAAGACTCCAGGGACTTTATTTAACAGTGTAACCATGCCTCTGTAAGAATATCTGAGAACCAAGTTTTAAAATTTGTTGAAGATTTTATGAAGAGTTCAGAAACAAGAGGCTATTGTGCCTCAGAAAAACCCCCTACAAAACTACATTGGACAAAACTGTTCACTTATATTTTTCCTTGCTCAAGGGTGTATGTTATTCAAAAAATTTGCAAAGAAATGGAAGTTTTTCTCCTCTCTGTGACAGCTGAACTATGCCTGCTCTCTGCTAAGAGTCCAACCATAAGATGTGCTGAGACTCTTGTTGAAAGTCATGTGACTTCTTAATAGCCTACATGGAAGCAAATGTACTTTGAACTTACAGCACATAAGGTAATAGGCTGGGATGGTAAGGGTGTGGTGGTATTGGCTGCTGTGATCGGTATCTGCTGCGCCCTGTGAGTCTTCGAGGCATAAAAGGTGGGTAAGGCTGCAAGAAAGAAGAAAATAAGCTTCAACTGGAACTTGTGGAACTGGAACTTGTGTCCAGTTCTGTACTCCCCAGCACAAGAGAGACATGGACATACTGGGGAGAGTCCAATGAAGGGCCACTAAGATGGGACTGGAGCATCTCACATATGAGGAAAGGCTGAGAGCTGGGACTGTTCAGCCTGGAGAAGAGAAGGCTCAGGGGGATCTTAGCAATGTATATAAATACATGGAGGGAGGGTGCAAAGAAGATGGAGCCAGGCTCTTTTCAGTGATGCCCAGTGACAAGACCAGAGGCAATGGGCACAAACTGAAACACACAGAGGCTCTGTCTGAACATCAGGAAACACTTCTTTATGTGAGAGCTACTGAGCCCTGGCACAGGTTGCCCAGAGAGGTTATGGAGTCTCCATCCTTGGAGATATTCAAAAGCTGTCTGGACATGGTCCTGGGCAACCAGCTTTAAGTGGCCCTGCTTGAGCAGGGATGTTGGACCAGATGACCTCCCTTCCAACCTCATCCAGTCTGTGAGTTTGTGATGCAACATTTTGTTTTCTTAATCATGAAATGAAATCTGAATATTGAAATCCACTTTCAACAAAGCATTAATAAAAAAATCCAGCCTCTGCTCAAATCCAAAAGAACCTCAGCCACAATTTGAAACATTTCCCATCAATAACACACAATCATAGCATTCCATGTGAAAAAGTAGCAACACACAACAGAAATCCTTGCAAGCTCTTGTGTTCTTTTGTTCTTTGTCTACATGCAGGCTAGTTTGGGAAACAAGACTTGAACTGCTGACTCTCTTGTAAATATAAAAGCCCAGCCTTTAGGCCTGGCACTATTATGCAGGTTTGCGCACAAGCGGTTGACTAAAGAAGCCTTTAAAAAAAAAAGTCTTTAAAAAAAGATTTTACTCCCTCCCCTTTAAAAAAAAAAAAAAATCTAAGCAGTGGTGTATATTTACATTTATGTTAAAGAAGGGTTGAAGCATTTCAAGTGTACATGGAGATTTTAATCAGTACAATTTTGGCAGCTGGACAATGCCTAAAGAGACAGTAAAGCCTAAAGCTTCAGTGTATTCTTTCTATGAATAAAACAGGGCTTTATTGCCATACTTTTTTCATTTGCATGCTAAGCTCTTTACTTGTATATTTAAGTTTTCATCATAATTGTTCAAAAGTCCTTGCACACCTACAAAAATGGGGACGTACATGGTAAAAAATTTCCACTTATATGGAAACTATATTTTTCCAGAAATATTCAAAGTACTAATTTTTTTTTAGTAATTTTTAAAACTGAAATTCATGTACCACTATTGAATTCATATTTGAAGGCATTAAGACTTTTTGTCTTGAAACAAAAAAACACTTGAAGTCTTCACGAACGTTTTTCTTCTTCCATGTTTGAAGTTTAAGAAAATGCAAAAGTCCAACACCACCAATAACTAACCTAAACCCCCCTAACTTTACAATTGAAACATTATTAATACATGGTCACACATAAAACATACATATGAATGTAAGCATGATGCAAAAGAGCCAGGGTCTTTTTCTTGAAAGGAAGATCTCACGCTAGACATAGCAAATATCAGTTTTACTGCTCTGTGAATTCTGCAATCCCAAAATATAATTAGAAACTGTTGTGTTCACTGAATGAATAAGAATCAGAAATGAAGCCATTCCATCATAATTTTAATGTAAATAAAATTTTACACAGATTTAGGATTGCTTTATGAAAGACCATATGATTACTTGTAATACACCTCTATTCTACTCCTCAGTGATATACAACTGAGAACTGAGGCATCAGAAAGGATAAATGCTATAAAATCTGCAAAAACATGGTATTTTGTTCCTTCTCTACTTTAAAGACTGAACTTGGAAATCAAGAAAGCCTCACTTGAACCAAAATGTTTATGTAATTCATCTAACAAGCATATTGAATAAAACACAAGCTGTTTATGGAAGTTCTTAAGTATCTTTGTCTTCAGAGTGACTCATAGTGACTGAAAACTTCATTGAAAATCTGTACACCTTTAATTTAACAAGCTGAGTATTGTTTTAAATGGTGGAGACATGTCAACCTTTATAAAAATTGCAGCAAGCATTTAACTAAGTTTTGTGATTTCAAGGACTGTAATTATAGAGAAGTTATTGGTATATTCTGTAGTCACAAGGCCTAAAATTTCATTCTCATTTAAAATTTTCTGTAACAATATGCCTCTAAAACTTTCTGTCAACTTGATGCTCAGGTCAAACAGTAAAAAAATTCAGAGCCTATACTTGATTCTAGTTATTTCTTCGGGCATTACACAAGCAGGAAAACATTTTTTAAAAAGCCAAAACACACAAAACAACAACAAAAACCAAAAAAATCATCTCAGGATTACTGTAATTGCAGACTGAAGTGCACCACAAAGATTCTAGAGGTAGCACTGATACTGGACATACCACAGAAACACAAAATTCAGCACAGACTTTATCCTGCACTAGATTTAATTATTATTTTATGTGCTGCTGCAGTTGAACTGTCTGCAGATCCTCAGAAATTTGGCTTAAAGCAAGCTTGGCAGTCTAAATTATGGAAGCACTCTATACAACTGCTTGCCTGCAAATCACAAACACTCTGGAAAAGAACTATTTTTAAAGCATTCCAGCTTTCCTGACTTGTGGAAACTCAACATACAATGAAGAATTATCTAAGAGTGACAGCAGCTTTTCTAAACTGTACTAATTAGTTTCTACAGTAGAAGTCCTAGACTGTGTGGCAACATGGAGTGTTTTCTAAGTAACTGCTACGACACTCTGCAGATGTTACCAGAAATCATTTGCTGGTATCATTAAGTTATCCTTAACTTGATTAAAACAAGCTTAAAGAAAATACCATGGTATGCAGCTATAGCCAATAATGGAATACAACTGCAAGAAGTGCCACTTTTCAATAAAATGTACTACAGAATAAATGTTGATGCAGCATGAATGAGAATGTAGCACAGAAAACAATACTCACTACACCAAATGACACCTCCTGGTGTAAAGGATCGTGGGTTAAGAATTGGAGAGGAGCTGAGGGAGGCAATGTTGGTGGATGGGCTGAGGGAGGGTATGTAAAACCTCCTACAGGAAGATGTTCTCCAAGCAGTTCTACTTCATTTTCTATCCTTTGAAGTGGCTAAAAAAATAGGAGATAGGCTTTGTTGCAATAATAGAGATGCAATTTTTTCCCCAATAAAGAACTGCAATCCTAGCTGTATATTCTGAGTGCCTATGGTCAGTTTTATAGGGTAAAAAAATTTTAAAATTGCAGGTATAATTGTACTCAGTTTCACATAGTAACTCTGTGAACAATTCCTGTGTCATTAACACTACCAAAAACCAAAGAGAACACTACATATTTGATATAAATTCACCTTTTCCAGCTAGCCATGCTTATAGACCAGGAATTTATGCAACCTAGCAAATATAGAAGTGGCTGTAATTTCCTGTGTCTTGCATTTTTCAGGACAAGTATTTGCTCTCCTTCTTGCCAGGCTGCTCTCACTGTACAACTATGTGAGAGAAAAAAATAAACAACCATAGACAAGAACTGAAATTGTGCCAGAAAATCTGTAAAGTGAAGAGGAAACACAGCAACTCCAGTAGATTAAACTAATAATGATATTCAGTAATCAAGCAGATGCTTTTCTAGAAGGGTCATACAAGCAGTCCCAGTGGTCTCGGAAGCATGAGATTCCAGTTCTGTATTGCAATCTAGTCAACTGTAGTACATCAGTCAGGCCCAAAAGTGCTCAAGAAATAACAAGGAATTGTCATTGTTTCATTAATACACCTTTCTGTTCTTGACACTGAATTTCCACCATTTCAAGAAATTCAGCTAAGAAAGCCACCTTGTGGAATCAAAAGAATATTCTGTTTCCTTGTTATGCAGAGCAAACATTAAACACAAGCTATTCTTAAAACACTAAAATACAAGCTTTTTGCTAGAGCTGAAAGTTCTGACAGGCAAGCCTTGTCAATAACCTACGTAAGTAACCCAAGCTAAAACCCGAGCCCATACATTTTCTAAAGAAAAGTCTTATAGAGCTTACCACTGAAAACTATATTTTCACACCTGTTTTCCTGTCATCGCAACAAAATGATTACAACCCTATTCACACCTGAGACGTGGCATTAGGAAGTCCCAGCAGTGTTTGTAAGTAACAGTGAAGCTGTTTTCTATTTCTGCATTAGTGAAATACTGGCATCTTCTAGTCAGAGGGACAAACAAATAGACATGAGTATACAGATAACCCCACAGTAAGAGCTGCAAGCCAGAACTGAAAAATCTGATTTCCCCCCAGATCCAAAACAGGGTCACATTTAACCATGTTTGCACAGTCCCTATCACTAAGCCAAGTCTGCTTAAGCAGAAGGCATCAATAACTTTCATATGGGGAAAATCAAAGGGGAGGGGAAAGGGAAACTGTAGGGTCCTGAATATGTCTGGACAGCCTAAGTTCATTATGTTCTAGGAAAACCACTGGTCATTTAAATAAGCACATAAGAAAAGTAACAGTTTGTGCTTTCTTCTCTCTCTGCTAAGCTTTTATGTGAGATTGCTACTGCACTACACAACCTTTTCTGGATTATCTTCTGCTTCCTGGGAAAGAAATACCTAAAGGAATAGTTGGTGAAGCAGATATACATATTTTTGACAGAAGTAAAGGCCTATGGAGAAAGTGCACAGATAACAGCTAATGAAATCTGAAGAGAAACACAGTGAATTTTACAATATTTTTTTTCACCTTCACACTAAGTGGTTACAGACTTGCTAAGGAAGCGTAAGTGCAAACCCCTACTACTTTAAACAAAATCCTTCTGTTTCCTCAATTAGATATCAGCACTATTTGCCCATCCAGCTCCATCAATTCTACAGAGAGGAGGGTAAGAAGCATTACTTACCGACCGTGACTGCTGTGCTTGGAAAGGAACGAATTGTCCTGGAGGAGGCAAGTGAGGAGGGTGGTGTGGAGAGATATGAGGAGGATGCAAAAGGAAAGGGTCACTAGAAATGAGGGGTGGAAATGCTGCATATGGTACAGGTAGGTGCTGGACTGAGCACGCCTGAAGCATCTGAAATAAAATGAAAACAACATATTTTTTGCCTCTAGCACAAACATTCCCTATAGAATATTCTATAGTTATTATGGAAAGATATCATTAGACCAAAGCAGTTTTCTTGTCTCCTTGGAAAAACCTCCAAAACACACAAATAGAACTCATTCAAATAAACAAGGAACAGTGATTAGTACCGAACAGGCTCTAGAAGTACCATAGTGTTACATCTGCTAGGTGCAAAGTAGCTCTCACTTCTTTTGAGGTCAGTGGTTTTCAATACTCCAGGATTAGACAGTGTCCTAAGTGACAAGCAGATACATTTATCCTAGTTAATTTTATTTTTCCCACACACTACCTTCAAATAACATGCCAAAGCAATGGCCTTGTAACCATTTTAAGCTCTAGATGTAGCTGAGAGTCTCCCAGCTGTCAAGACTGTGCCTTAAAACCTCCGTTGCTTCATATACTAAGAAAAATTCATAAGCTCTGCTCAGTTCTGCACTTTGAGGGGAGCCTCATACTCTGAAGGTAGCTTCCTAAAGCGATAGCTACTGTGGGAAATAGCCTTTTCTCTCCTCTTTGAAATTGCTCATACAAAAGCAACTTTGGTCACTAAAGTTTGAACACTAAAGTGATGAAGGCACTGCAGGGGAGCAGGAA